CAGGCTGACACTGATCACTAGAATCTGGCTGCCTCTGCTGACTGAGGGCTGGCATTAAAGACGTGAGCCACAGACTGGGGAGGCGCAGTTACTACAGGACCATCAGCACTTCTTGTTTTTTTCAGAGGACCCAGGTTCTACTCTGGCTGTTAATAACTGTCTGTAACTCCAGTAACTTCGTTTCCAGTCCTTGAGGGCACCTAGAGTGCACATATTGCACATATATGTATATAGAACCAAATCCATACATATAACCAAAACCAAAAGACTGTGTCTTAAGAAAGTAAACATGAGATTCACCGTAGCGGGCCATGTGTCTGGCAGAAATAAGGGCAAAGTAGAGGGGAAAGAACTTGCTTGACATCTGGTGGCCACCTTAAAGGAGAAGAAGAAAGCTGGGGGTGGAGGCATGGTGCTGAGCATACAGGTGTATCAAAGACACTGTTTGCGGAAACAAGCAAGTCCCCCTACAGGATCCCTTTGATTAGAAGCCTGGAGCCAGCAAGCCAGCCAAGGGAAAGGAGGGCTGAGCTTAGATAGAAGCTGAATATCCTGTGTGCATCAGGGCCTTTGATCAGGATGTAGGCCAAAAGGAGGAGGTATGATATTGTTAATTTGAATCAGGAGGCCTTACTGTGAATTTGTCCTTGGCTATTAAAACAAAACAAAACAAAAAAATGGAAACTAAAGGCAAGAAATAAATAATGCTGTTGTGAAGAAAAACATGAATTCCCTTGCACTGTTGATAGGGATGAAAATTAGCATAGCCATTATGGAGAACAATATGGAGGCTCCTGAACAAAAGAGAAATGGAATTCATAATATCCAGCTGTCTCACTTCTGGACATATACGCAAAGGAAATGAAATCAGCATACCAAAGGGATATCTACATCCAGATGTTCATTGTTGCATTATCACAATAGCTAAAATACAGAATCAACCTAGGTGCCTATCAACACATGAATGGGTAAAGAAAATGTGGTGAATATGCACAATGGAGTATTATTCTGCCACCAAGAAAATGAAAACCTTTTATTTTTCAACAAAATGAATGGAAATGTGGGACATTATGTTAGGTGAACTAAGCCAGATGCAGAAATGCAAGTAGAACATATTCTCTTTCACAAGTGCATGCTTTTAAAGAAAGGGTGACCCAAATGCAGAATAGTGATTGCTGGAGATGGAGGAAGGGTAGCTTAGATAGAGAGGCTGGATTTGTATAGTGTATGCCATGCCATGAAATATTATCTGAAACTTACTAATGTGGATAACTTAAGCACGCTAATCAGAAAGGAAACAGAGTATTCCTCCTTAGACAAGTCACTTCAGTCTCTTTTCCTTAGTTTCCTCACTGACAAAGTGAAATTAATAACAATACCTCATAAAATGAGTGTGATGATTTAATGAGATAACATGCACTGAATACATTTATATAATGTGTGGCCCATGGGTGAATGGTGAACACGACTATAGTCACAGTGACAAAAGTATGACCATATGCCAGTTATTTCATATTTATTAAATGGTAGCTATTGAATTTTGACATCTTAGAAAAACTCTATTCTCTTAGCTTTGGCTAAGGATGAAAAAATGGGACTTGGCAGGTCACGCAGTTAGCTCAGGGTTCTGGGTAGAGTCTCCGTACATAGCAGTAATAGAAAAAGTAAGTTTCTGATGAAAATAGATTACTAACAGCTATTTATACATTCCATATTACCCAAGGGCAGGAACACTTTCTACGTATTTGATGGATGGGCATATCTGCTTTCTCCTTCATGAATGTGATAGTCCTAAATCAGGTCCCTCAGTGTGGTATGGTATCATAGAAAAGCAGAAACCAGGGTGAGAAAGAGTCAGTTTCTGGATTGCTATGTACTCCCTAATGCATCTTGAACCAAACACGTCCTTCACTTGGAAAGGGAGTCCACTGCTGCTTAACTTCAGCCCAGCTTTCAGAGTTTGAACTGTTTGGTGGGACTGATGGCCAGGGGGCGGGGTTATATTGTCTTCTGCTCTCTTGAAATACAAATAGAGCCATTTATTTCGTCCCCAGAAAGTCCACTGGTAGTTGTTATTTTATATGGAGGCTGCTGGTATCTTTGACTTGGGAGTTGCTGCCCAGACCTGAGCCTTTGCAAAACCATAATTTTTTTTTTTGTGCTTCTAATCACGTTTTCTTGTTGGTATCCCTTCTGACTCTTCCTCAGGCACACACATTGCCCTCATGAAACCTTTCATTGCTTACTTGATCTCAGGAAGAGACAGGACCTATACCTTTAAACTGTCACTAGGTGACTAACAGCTCAAATCACATTTGTTTCAGAGCTGGGAAGAAAATGTTAAAGGAAGAAATACATGGGCCACATGGCAAAACCTGACTCTGAGTGCTGGCATTTTATGATAAGTTTTTGTATGTTTTCTCATTTGTACATTTGTTCCTTGTTTAGATTCAACTGGCTATTAAAATAGCCACTTCCTCAGTATCTTAATCCTTCATGAAGCACTAAGAGCACAACTTTTCTTGGGATAGCTGTGGCTCTTAACCTTTGAAATACAATAATTTTCTAGTGATATTTGCTGACACCCAAATTCCTACTAAGGCTGAGGCATCTTGTGGTACCCTTTGAAGGAGAAGATAAGTGTCTCCAGTGGTTTCTCTTCCTAAAGTCTTTATCCCTATAACAGAGGCCTTCTAAAGGGACAGTTCTAAAGTAGAGATTTCTTTTTCCAAGACAGGGTTTCTGTGTATCCCTTGATGTCCTGGAACTTGCTCTGTAGACCAGGCTGACCCTGAACTCACAGAGATCCTCTTGTATCTACCTCCTGAGTACTGGGATTAAGGGTGTGTGCCACCATCACCTGGCTGAAGTAGAAATATTACAAATGAAATGAAATCTACTTTCTATTCTTTACCCCTTGGAAAAACTTGGGTATTTGTGCCACCAGTTTGCCCAATATTAAAACCCAATTGGATTCATTTCCAAATGCTGTAAATATACAAACAGGAAATTCCAGAGCAGCGGGGAGGATTCAGCCTGGTTTGCTTCGACTGCAGATGTGTGAGATGATGTAGGCCCCATTCAGGCCACCTACTCAGGCCCTTAGTGACAGGAATCAAGGTATTCAGGTGCGGAAGTAGGGAGTATTAAAACCCAACCTGCTACCAGCAGGTGGTGACCAAAAGCTAGAGTTGATGATTCTCATTCTTGCTAGAAAATGTCACCCCGCTCAGTGGGGCACTCTGAAACCCTATATTAGATGACAAGAAAATTTTACCTTTTTTTTCTGTCACTAAGAATAATTAACTGCTAGATACTTAGTGAGATAACTACAACTGCCTTTGCAGGCAGAAAAAAGAAACCTTTCTAGATTCCATGTGTGTCTTATCCCTTGTAGAGAACAGACTAGGTGTGAGCATAAATCATCTCAAAATTCTTCGTCTAGTTGGATTTGAATGAAGGTGGACTTGGAGGGGAGAAAGGGAAAAAGGGAGAATAGGAGAGGGAGAGGGAGAGGGAGAGGGAGAGGGAGAGGGAGAGAGAGAGAGAGAGAGAGAGAGAGAGAGAGAGAGAGAGAGAGAGGGGCTATGAGAGACAAGAAATGAAGCTGAACTATATTGTATTGTTCTGTTTCCTGACACCAATTGGATAGAATTTCAGAGCTAGGAAGGACCTTGCTGTGCTATCCTGATTTGTAAACACAGGCTCACAGTGCTGGCAATGGTATTACTCACCACCAATGCAACACATCACTTTTGGGATGAAGAATCAGAGGTCTAAGAAGGGGAAATAAGTTACCCAAGCTGACTTGATGATAAAAGACAGTCCCAAGACTACAGTCCTTTTTAAAAAAAATTTTCTGCTATACTCCCATTCCCCTTATAGCCAGTCATTTAAGCATCTATGATCTAAAGTACCCTCACAGACAATTTTACACCTTAAAAAAAATCCCCAATGGCAAAAATTCTACAAATTCACCTTTGTGTCACCGTGAGAAAGTATAGGAGAAAAATCAAATTATAAAGAGAAAGGTTTATTGTGGCTCATGACTTCAGTCAATGGTTGCTTTCAGCTGGTGGCAGACCAGCACAGCAGGGCAGGTGACCATGACAGCAAGAGAGCAAGGAGGAAGAGAAAGGGGGTAGGATCCTATAATCCTTTCCAAGAGTATACTTCCCAATGACCTAACTTCTTATTAAGCCCCACTTACTAAAGGCTCTATTACCTCCAAATAGCACTAAAAATTAAGCAATGCAAGATTCAAGATGTCATGGTGCATGCCTACAACCACAGTACTCCAGAGGCTGAGGCAAGAGGACTGGGAATTAGAGACCAGCCTGGTCTATACAATGACACCTGTCATAAAAACAATAAGCTCAATCTAATAAGATTGATCTGATGGTAGAGTACAGTTACTCATCTCTACTTTAACAAGAAATCGCCCCTCTTATTAACTGATTATTATAGTGCACTTCTGTAATTTCAAGACCTGAGATATGGAGGAGTTCAGGGTCATTCTCAGCTACACAGTGAGTTTAATGCAACTTTAAACATTATGAGACATTGTATCAAAAATAAAATAGCCCCTATTCGTCCTAGAAGGTCATCTTCCCAATCGAACTCCGAATCTGGGGAGGATGTTTGCAATGTTATTAACAGATTAACTGGATTTACCCAGAATATAAGTGAAGTGCAAAATTGAGTAGCCCACTGTAATATATCCCCTGAGGTTTCCTTACCAAGACAAAAAATTGTCTCAAATATGTTAAAACATTTTCAACAGAGCAAGAAAGTCATCAAATCCAGTAACCCAATCTAGACTACTGAATTTCTGTAGACTAAGACTGCAAACAACATTGTTCTGGAAAGAAGGCAGATGAATAATTGACTAATGTGTATTCATTGAGGCGATCAGACTGTTTCATTGAGCTTGCAATGGGCGCCACATCACTGCCTTCCCTAGAAACCCAAGGAATCCCCATGGTAAAACAATTACTCACGGCAATAAGCTGGTAGGAGTTATTCATCATGGCAATGAGCATGTTCAGCAGCACTACCAGAGAGATCACGTTGTATGTTCCAAACATAGTAGCTCCCACAAACTCGGTGAACTCATGCCTGGCCTTCACATTGGTGACGTAGAGATTTAAAAGGCCAAATACAGACCAGAAGAGTGACTGGAGGGTTTCAAAGAGCCTGAAAGAGATGTGAGAACAGAGTAGTTCTGTGAATAATGTGAGTAAAAGAGGGAACATGCGGTAGTCTATGCAGGCAGTCAGATTTGGGGCAGGTGACCGGCATGCTCGTGCATATTAGTCTCTTTGTTACCATAACAGTGTAGCCAGGACATTGCATTTGAATACTTTGTTCTTTCTGGGATATTATCTCTCCCCTCTCAGTGGCAACCTAAAAATGCTCAGAGTTTATTCCGGGCCACTTTCACTTTTAACCACCTTTCCCACCTTCAGACCATGTTATCAACCGCTTTCCTAGTTATTTGGGGTCAGCACATTCAGAGCGAAAGAATATGGAGCTTTACAAGTTGGAGTAGGGGGGCTGGAAAGATGGCTCAATGGTTAAGAGCACTTGCTGCTTTTCTAGAGGACCCACATTCAGTTCCTAGGACCAGACCACGACAGCCTGTAACTCTAGCTCCAGGGAGTCGGTCTCTGGCTTCTGTAGGCACCTGCACTCATAGGTCTACACTGACATAAGGACACACATATCACTATATGTAATTAAAAATGATAAAAAAACTTTTAAAGTAAAGCTATGTTGAGCTATACTGCACTAGGTTGAAATCTCAATTGGCTCTTGCTTTCTCTCACTCATTGAGTAAGTACATGAGGGCAAGTTGTCTTCCCCCTCTATTTTTTTTTTTTTGGTCCTGGGGATGGAATGTAGGGCCCCATATGCTAAATATGATCTCTACCGCTGAGTTTTACCCCAAACAAAACCTGCCACTTTATGGTTCTTATGGGGCTTAGTTGGTACTAAGCTCAGTGGAAGAGCTCGATGAATCTCAAAATAATAAGTTATATATTTTAATGGTACATACATTACGTATTCTTAAGATCTCCCTGTAGAAGCAGCTTTTACATATTCTTTTAAAAAATCTTCAAAGGGTCTTCTGGCTCACTTGAACTTCCTGTACAAACTGGGCTCAAACTCAATGAGATTTGCCTGCCTCGTCCTCCTGATTGCTAGGATTAAAGGCCTATACCATCACATCCTGGCATGTTTTCCATTTTTATGATTACATTATCATGACTCATAAAGCTTTACTGCAAAAAACCATAGCTTTTATAATAGAATATTGGTTACTAATCTATAAAGTGATGTGGCACTGCAAATACAGGGGGAAAACAGGTGATGAGGACTTTAAGGACAAACCCCAAAGAAGGTTTTTTATATGATAATTAGAGGATTTCAAAATCTGTGGAGGAAATATCGCCTTTTTAATAAATAAGAAACCAATAAATTAAAACTCTTTGTTGTTATTGATGATGTTACATTCAGAGATTGATTGGCTCAAGGACACTCAGCTAGCAAGTCCTGAGCCAGAATTCAAGGGCAGGTCTTCATGACCTCGCCAAGCCATTACATCAGTCTCTATTAGATGGCTTTGCAAATTATTGCTTCCTGTTTTAGTCTCCATACCCAAATGTGGAACTTTGCAGATATACTTTTGGCACCTGGGGTTTCATCTGTCTTGCATTCAGAAATCTGCCTACAGCAATATAGTGCAGTTAGCTCATGGGGGGCACATAAGTCATTTCCCAAGTCCAAAGAATTGTAGAACATAAGAAACACGAATCTAAGAATGAATACATTTTTTTCAGTTTGCTCAAAGCGTATGGTTCTTCATTTGCAAGGTGGAATCAGGAGTATCGGGAGTATCAGGAGTTCAGTGTTATCCACGACTACATAGGGATTTGGAGGCAGCATGGTCTATGCGAGACGGTCCCAAATTGGAAATAGGAAAGTTACACTCATACTTCTTTGTCTTCTTCTTCTTCTTTTTTTTATTACTGAAGATGGAACCAAGGCCTTGCACATGCATGTAAATGCTTTACCACTAAACTATACCTCAAACCCAGGAATTTGTTTTCTTTTAAAAAAAGATCTTATCTCGTTGGGTTGTTTTAGTGCATCTGTAATGTACATATAATAATTATTCTAATTTGTGGGATAAAGTTTTGATCCAGGTGGATTCTGTGTGGCGACCACATCAGGTTAATCACCATCTTTACTGTCTCTCGCATCTGTCATTTCTTTGCGGCAAAACATTAAAATCCACTCTTCTAGCCAGTTTGGAATATACATTAGCTTTATCTAGAGTCACCCTACCGAGAACAAGGACACCAGGACATTTTGCTCTTATTTTAGTGCACCATTGTTCCCATTGACCAAGCTTTCCCCTCTCTCCCTCCTCCCTCCTTCTCGTCCCGATCTTTGAGAGGCGCCATTCTGTTCTAGCACTATACTTCTAGAAGCTTACATTTATCCCCATTTCAAAGCTTACATTTTGTTTGATGCAAGTAAATATGAAATGATGAGGCATTTGAGAATCAATAATAAGATGGGAGTCTATAGTTCATGGGCCAGGACATGAGAAGCAAAAAAATATGGCAAATGCTGGGATTACAGATCTATGCCACTGCCCTGACTCATGCAATGCTGGGGGTAAAGAACCTAGGGCTTTATGCAAACTAGGCACACACTCTGCCATCTGAGCCTCATTCTTACCACCTCTTCTGAATTTCCAGGAGACTGGAAGTCAGAACTAAGCAATATGATGCATCCCACAGTCCATCAGAAGACTAAAATTATAGAGAAGATACGGAGCGCAGAAATCTAGTTCTGCTAAGAGGACCCAACACAAGTGATTTTTACACATTAGAAGCTAGGACCACGAGGACACCAGTAATGGAGCAAAAATCTAGCACAGCAGTTAGATGCTATAAGTTAAGGCATCTAGGGCTCAGAAAAAAGGAAAACAACAATGATACATAGAAATTATATCCTGAAGCATCAGAGATGTTCAGAAACTGAATATACTCAAATAGAGAAAATATTCAGTATCTGTTGATTGCACAACAGACAATAATGCCATAAACAAGGCATTGATAGGCTCTGAGTTAATTGCATCTCCTGAATGGACTATGTTAAGTTCCTTCACCTACTTTTACATCTGCAAAAAGTAAAATTTCAATGGTTAATATTGACACACAATTCACTGCTACTTGTTCTATTGGCTCATACAAAGATTCCATAAAAGTATACATTTGAGAATGTAAAATCTACCTCATGGATAAAGTGGTACAAGAAGAGGAAAAGGAGAGTAATGAGGAACATTATTCCTCAATGGTGGATAGAAAGAACTCCTCAACAGGGCACACAAATTGTCACAGTGTGATCTGGTCACCAGTAGAGGCTGGCTTATTGAATGGCATGCTCAAGTAAAATAAAGGACTTGACTAGGTGTGGTGGCATGTGCCTTTAATTCTAGCAGTTGGGAAGCTGAAGCAGAATGATCTCTGTGTGTTTGAGGCCGGCTTGGTTTACATAAAAAGTTCCGTGACACTCAGGGCTACAAAGTGAGACCCTGGGTCCAGAAAAGGGAAGAGGGCCTGGTATATACAATGGATAAGACTATTTTAGAAAGATACTGGCAAGAAACCCCATGACTTACAGAAACAGTTGAATCGTTGGCTGACTTTATAGGGGCATTACTTATTCTATAACAAAATCATCACAGAAATGGATAAACACATTAACCAAGTTCTAATACCAGTGGGAAAGTGTTGGGGACTATTATTTTAAGGTGTGTGACCTGTGTGTATGCTGCATTTGTTTAACTCTGTGAAGTCGTGATTCTTCGCCTGTCTCAAACACCTGTTGGTCCGAATAAAAAGCTGAATGGCCAATAGCAAAGCATAGAAAGGATAGATGGGGCTGGCAGGCAGAGAGTATAAGTATAAGGAGAAATCTGGAAGAGATAAGAAAGGAGCAACAGAGAAGGAGAGAAGGATGCTAGAGGCCAGCCATCCAGCCAGCCATGGAGTAAGAGTGAAAGTAAGATATGCAGAGGTAAGAAAATGAAAAAAAAAAAAGAGCCAGAGGAAAAAGGTATACAGGTTAATTTCAGTTAAGAAAAGCTGACTAGGAAAAAAGTGAAGCTAAGGTCGGGCACTTATAATTAAGAATAAGCCCCCATGGCCTGAAGAGATGGCTCAGCTGTTAAAGGCTAGGCTCACAACCAAAAATAGGAGTTCAGTTCCCAGCACCCACAGCTGTCTCTCAAGCCACAGAAAAGAAGAATAAGCCTCCATGTGTGTTTTACTTGAGAGATGGGTGCTGCCCCCCCCCCCAAAAAAAAAGCAAAAAGTGAAATATCACACAACAGGACAGCCTTTTGATTTCAAAGGAAATACTTTTGGAGGGGTCAGTCAGCCAATTTTTGTTCAGCGGCAATAAACATATGGAAGAGGCTAGCTAAAAAGGGGCACATGCAGAGAAACAAAGGTTCTAGGAGACATGATAGTGAAGGAATGGAAAGCAAGCCCACACTAGGTGCTTGAGGCAAAAAACTAGCATGTGGGGAGTCAGCCACAATTAGATTACACAGCTAGGAGGGCATAGGCAAAAGAGATGGCAGCTGCAGTTCTCGGGACATTTGCTGCATATCTTTCTGAGGGGCAAATCTTCCAAAGGAGAAGAGTGTGGAGAGAATTTACCCTTCTGAACCTAATTCCAACCAGGGAAGAAGAACTAGAAGGTGAATTGGAATAGAACAGCTGCTTGGGAAAAAGAAATGACACCCTCTTGTGTTTCACCATTTAACTGGATTTTGCTAGACCTAATAGAGGAAAGGAAGGTTGAGGCCCTTTGTCATCAATCTTATCCATTTTTGAGCTCGCGGGACCTACTGTTTCTCACTTCACCATGCCCCTGACAAACTTCCTTCTCTGGAAAGAATGTGCTTTTCCTGTAGCCCACTTGGTCCAACTTTTGTTTGACTTTCTAGGCTTGGATAAAGCCTCATCTCCTTGGAATGACTGCTCTAGCTACTTTTTTTCTTTTTTTTACAAGATAGGCTTGGCTATTCCTCTTTTGTGCTTCCAGGTACTCTAGTATTAGCCCACAGAGGGACAGAACATAGTGGAAAGGCAGTAGAGGAGAGTGGCTAAGGC